GGCGGGCGCGGGCCAATGGCGGGCCGGGCTGGCCCGTTTTGCCATCCCTAGTTTTGTGTTGAAATTTGGGGTTTTTGTTGTTCTTGATGTGTGGTTAAAATGTGATGATTTCTTTGAGTTATTGTGAATGCATGTGGTTTTTCTGGAGATTTCTCAGTTGTATAATGTTAGAGTTGAAAGATCTTGGGGTTGCATGCTTTGATCATTGCATGGGTTGAGAGCATTTGGAGATTGAGTTGTTTGTCTATTGGTATGAATTTCTGAGTTTCGGACGCTAAGCGTGGGTTTTCACACTTAGCATGACAATTTGAAAGTGCTGCTAAAAATCTGAGGTTGTGCATAGGATTCTACGCTGAGCGTGAGAATGAGTTGTGCCTCTAGAAGGCTGACACTGAGCATGAGAGTGAGTTTTACCTCTAAAAGACTGAGGCTAAGCATGGGGACTTAGTTAAATAAATTTCTTTTTGAATGAGTTGATTGTTTGCTTGATGAATGAGTTGTATGTCTAAAGCTTATTGTTTGAGTTTTATTATTGTTAAATGATGATGAAAAAGTTGTGGAGATGTTGTATGATAAGGAACTTTAGGTGTTGAATGTTGATAAGTTATATGTTGGTAATTGTGTTGTGATGTTGTATAGTTGTGTTGGGATATTATATGAACAATGTTGAAGTGTCCTTGAGATGTATGATGAGTAGAAAGTTGAATATGAATAGTGATGATTGAGTTATGAGATGTTGAGATGCATGTTGAACATAATGTTGTAAACAAGTTGTGAAGTTGAGTTACTGTGTAGAGATGATATGTGAGTTGAAAAGTTATGTGTTGATTAAGTTGTTGTGCTAAAAATATAATGAGCTGTTGTGTTGTTATTCTAAGTTGTTGAGCTAAATTGGGCTGTTGAGTTGTGTGTTGATTGAGCTGTGTTGTTTAGTTGTGTTGACCACTTAGGACTAGAGGAGATGTTTTTGAAAGTTGTTCATCCTATTATGTGAATTGAGAGTGTTATGATGCTCTAAGAGCCAAATTTGTTGAAAAACCTTCCTTGGGAACTTGCCCCTTGGAGTGGATATCGTGTTGTTCTCCTCTAGGACTTAGTTAATACCGTGTGTGGGTAAGGTCGAGGCACACGTGTATAAAGCGACCACAATATAGGGATCAGGTTGAGCTATATTGCTTACAAGTGACCAAATCGAGTAAACTACGAAATCGAGAACTTAGTTTCTAACCAAATATCGGGGGATAGTTAGTAAATTAATCACATATGTGACTTAGTTAAGCTAGCTAATGTCGTGGTAGGCCTAGACCCAACTATCCTATCCTAAGAAAGTATTATACTTCCTTGTTTAAGTGGCAGAGTCTGAGAAATGGTTATCGTGTTGTGGATTGATATCCAATTTTTTGTTGATCTAGCAAGCCCAAAAAGATCGTTGTATTGTCGGTTCGGTAGGACCTTACTGAAGTTAGCAGAAAAACACATAGAAGGGGGGTTGAATATGTGTGTGTGTATGTACAAAGGCATTTTAAAATCACTTTCGCAAGAGTAATATACTTCGTCCAAAGCATTTTCAGATATTAGACGGTTAACCAAAATTGATTAACGTAAGGTCATTGCATCTAACAGGTTTATCGACTGCTGAGGAAAATGGTTTCTAATGATAAGTATTGAAGTTGTCACACTTTCCTTTTCAAGATAGTTTCGTTTAAAGTCAAGCAGTAGATAAAGCTTTTTCATTGTAATATACTTGTTAAACGAAATTGTGTCTTCGTTTGAAAAATGGTTTTAATGATATGTAGATATTGGACAAAATCTTTCACAAAGGTTTACTTAGTAAAGAAAATTTATTCCAAGTTAGACAGGAAAAGCAATGCAAACTTTTTATACTGGTTCGCTCAACTGAGCTACATCCAATCTCCTTCAACTGAAGGGTTCCACTAAATATCAAAATGAAGAACATTGAGTATTATCGTCCACTCCTGGACCTGAGTATTCTCGACCACTCTTGGCCTTGAGTATTCTCGACCACTCCTGGCCTTGAGTATTCTCGACCACTCTTGGTACGTCAACTTCACTTACCAACACTAGTATTCTTAAACCGCTCCTGGTTCTCCAAGTATTCTCGACCACTCCTGGCCCGTCGGCTTCACTCACCAACGCTAGTATTCTTAAACCACTTCTAGTTCTCTAAGTATTCTTGATCACTCCTGACCCGTCGGCTTCACTCACCAACGATAGTATTCTTAAACCACTTTTGGTTCTCTAAGTATTCTCGACCACTCCTGATAGACTATGGCCAAGGCCAAGGAATCCAAGAGGTGATATCTTAAAAGAACCAAGAGGAATGTGATGATCTTAAAGACCTTTTTCATATGTTTGTACATATAGTAGTTTCTTTGTATAGGCTTATTTTTGCCTTTGTATTTGTGAGGCACTTTACTTGCTTTTATTAGTGATTGTATATTGTTTTTAGGGTGGGTTACTTGGAGAGTTTAACTTCATTTAACCTCCTTTGTTGATACATTCATTTTATATTTTTTCAGTAGGGAAAAAGGGGTGGCATTTAGCAATGCTTGAGGGTGTGACTAGTAATTGGGCCAGAACTGGGCCTAGGCAAAATTTTGCATATTAGACTCATTTTGCTCCTAATTTTTCATAGATTTGATTTAGCTAGGTCTCATCATCATATGATGAACCTAACTAAACCAAATCAAATATTTTTGAAATAAATCATGGAGCATTTTTGAGCCTTGGCCGCCTAGCTCATTCCTTTTGTTCTTAGCCAAAATTTCTAGCTTCTCCTACAAGCTTTGAAGCTTGCCTTCCAAGCTTCTAAACCTTAGTAGGTTTGGCTGACCTTACCATGGTTCTTAAGTGAACCATGGTCAAGGTTAGCTTCTCCTATAAGTTTTAGGAACCATGGATGATTAGCTATACCTATGAACCATGGTTAAGGTTAGCTTACACTACAAGCTACCTCAACTCATACAACCACAATAATCCAAGTCAGCAAGCATAGCCAAATATCTCAAAGGTACATATGTACCTGAATGATCAACAAATAGGAAATCACCAATGATTCATAGAATAAACTCTCTAGTAAAGCGTTCTAATTGCTCTTGGCTATGCAAATGCTTAGATATATCAAAAAAATGGTTGTCGATCCAATTCATCTTCAACTTGCCACCACTCATCACATTAGATGGGGGTGAAACTCCTAATAGTTGTTTCAACAAATGAATCCAATTTCGTGTAGCAAATCCAGTCATGGGCTCCCCATCAACCTTCAACCCAAATATAATGGCAACATCCTCCAACATAATAGTACACTCGCCGAAGGTCATGTGAAATGTATGGGTTTTCGATCTCCAACGCTCAACTAATGCAAATATTAGGTAATTGTCAATCGGAAAATACATAAAATATGCCACCTCTAAAAAACCAACTCGATGTAATAAAGATTGGATTTCATCAAGAATTGTCCTATCACACAATTCACTTTTTATTGCTTTTCTGACTTATAATACTCTGTCTTCTACATCATTCCATACATGCTCAGACACATGATATGGTTGTAACTTTAGTAACGACTCGTCC